CAGTCAATGAGATGGAAGGATGGGACAGCTGCAGCAATGGGCTCAGACATAGAAGGATGGAGTAGGACTGGGCAGTGTTTCAATTTAGGATTCCTACGACTTGGAACTGATTGAAAAGCACCCAACAACAAAAATTTTAAATTACAATAAAGTAACTTTATTTAAAAGCAGCTCTGGTAGCGTAGTGGTTATGAATCGGGCTGCGAACCACAAGGTCAGCAGTTTGAAACTACCAGCTGCTCCGCGGGACAAAGATGAGGCTTTCTGCTCCTGTAAAGCTTTACAGCCTCGGAAACCCTGTTCAGGGTCACTATGGTTTGGAACCGACTCCACGGCACTTAACAACAACAACTTTATTTAAAGTTTTTTAATTAAGTTTCCCTGCATTATCATCCTGATGTGGTGCTGTAGGCTAACCACAAGGTTGGTGGTTCAAACCCACCAGTCACCACTCAGAAACCCTATACAGGGTTGCTAAGAGTCAGACCTGAGTAGAAGTAATCAAAGTCTCCCTTGTCCTTGAAAGAACAGCCTTAGTCTTGACTAGGCAGGTAACTTAGCTGGTTCTAGGCAGTACAGACCCAAGAAAACCAACATTAGATCCAATTACAGTAGTAAAAACTTCATAAACCCTTTTGGTTAGCATCAAATCGTGGTCAGAGTATGACTAAAAGAGAAGCCCAGGCTAGTAATGCGCTGATGCTTTTTCCAGAATCTCGAACACATGTTCTAGAAGGTTCTAGAAGATCCAGGGCTCCCTCTGCACCTCTCACAAAGCAGGAAGGAGCCAAGCACCTGCTCAGGGATCCACGTGCAATTCAGAGGCTGCTCTACCAAAGAAAACCCCCCTGCTCCCCACCCCAGCACTGAAGCTCTGAAAGGCCACTGTCTTCCCATGTCAAGGTCTAAGGAGCCAGGAGACCACTAATCTGCAATTAGGACCTGTACATCCCCCACCTGCGCCACCTACTTCCTCTTGACATCTGCTTAGTTGAAAAGCACTTCTTGAAAAATTGGACCCTCAAGTTTATCTTCATGCCCTAAATGACCAGATCCCAAAAGGATGTGTTATTTTGGAAAGTGTTTGGTATGTTTATCCCCATTACCCTCAACTAGTTAGTTCTACTTCTACGTTAGAGGCCCAAATCTTGGAGTGGAGATGGGACAGACTGCTGTTCTCACTATGTAAACCATTCCAATTTTAAGGCAATGAGACTAACACAAAGGAATTTGTGGGACACCTCATGACAGTAAAACCATGAGACCCAATAGGAGATTCTTATGCCCCCAGCTGCCCACAACACAGAGCCAGCCAGTGCTGCTGCCCCCGATGTCAGAACTGAGCTGTGGTCTCTGCTCAGTTGATAACTGTCTGAGCCCCGGACTCTCTTCCCAAGATCCTTGACAATGAGTGAGAAGAAGGAAGGCGGGTAGGGCAAAGGATAGAGGCGGAACAGCGCTCCTGGGTACCGTCTGTACAGTCATGGGTCTGGCCAGGGTTCAGAGGTTCATGACTCAGCTCAGGCACCCCTCACCTGCATACACCCCTCACCTGCATATACTTCTTGGCCTGGTCCTCATACTACACTGTCCAGGTTTGCCTCTCTGCCCTGTCAGGGAAAAGCATTTTTCCTGATAGCCTTTCCAATAAGAAGGCCCTGATGGTCCCAACTGATGCTGACATGTCACCAACAGGGTTTCTTTTCCATGGCTGTTCAAGTGTAGCATTCGCCTCCTCCCCACCCACCTCACATGCACGATTAAACTATAGCAAATATATAATGAAATTATGAAATGTCACATTGAAGAGAATGGGAGGAAGGTCATATATGGACAAGGGATTTTTAGAGCTATGAAGACAACAAGATGATGGCATGATGATTTAATGAAGCAAATAAGGAAACCACAGCCTAGAATCAATATTCCACAAGAGAGTCAAAGTGGACAGGAATTTTGCTTCTGAGGATCCTGGGCAGAACTTGAAATTTGAAATCCCAAATCCTGTGATGGGCAGGGTCTCAAACAGTACTGACAAGGGGGTCCCCATCCTTGTATGTTCCCTTTTCTATACCCCTACTCACGGCTGCTTGGTCAAAAAATGGGGTCCCATCTTTCTTGAAAGACTTGGATTGTTGAGAAAGTATAATTTGCAGTAAAATGGAGAGTTCTTTAACCTGTTTTTGATACTGTATTTATAATTGGGAGGCAAAATGCAAAGGAGTTCCTGATCACCAACATCTAAGGGTAAGGTATAGGGTCTGTTCACCCCGGCGGCTCATCTGGAAGGTAAATCAGAAGCTAAATCCTGCCTCATACAGCAGACCTACCTCTGGCACAAGGCAGGTGGATGTCATCCTCATCCCAGAGGCGGGACCTCACATACCAGCAGACCACCACTTCAGCCAGTGAGGGCTTTCAGAACACCCTCTCCAATCAGTCCACCTGGGCAGCTCTGCTTCCCTCCTGTGGGACAGAGAGAGTTGGTCATCTGCTGGCTTGAAAAGAAAAACAACTTTCCCCAGTTTTCATTCCCAGAACCTTCACTCCCATGACCTACTGGACTCTGATGCACCAGGGTCCCTGGCTGGCCACAGAACTTTCTCACTTGGTGTCCAGCCTTTCATCTCTAATTGTTTGGTATTTTGTTTCTATTATGAGTTGGTTGAAGGTTTCCAGTTTCCAATTCATAATTCACACACACTTGTGTCACATCATTGACTGCAATCCCTGTAATACAACATCACATATCCCACACTTCCTTGTTTCTGGCTTCCATATGACTCCTGCTTCCCTAACCCTTCTGAACTTTATCGTTGGGTAAATTCTGTTTTTTTAATCTCCAATGGTGCATTATTCTAAGAAGTGCATGCCTCCCTAGTGCTATTGTTCCCCTTATAAACCTGTATATTGTTTAGCTGAAAATTGAGGCACAGGGGTGAGTTCAGTTCCGGACCTGAAGGATAACTAAGGGACATAGTCTCAAAGCTCCACCAATCTCGAAGCCTGGTCGTTTTTATGATTTTTGAAGTTTGTTCCACTTTTCCCACTCTACCCAACTAAAAGTAGTAACAAAAACCTCAAGAATCCGGAGCTTGTGGTAGGTGAATAGGTGTGTATTTCCTTCTCACAGTAACAATATACAACATAATATATAAATGTGTGTGTTTAAAGCCTTGTATCTTTAGAATCTGTTGAACAATATCAGATATGTTCTTAGGGAAGTGTGTGTGTGTGTTTATGCATGTGTTTTAATAGCATGTATTTTAATTAATTTTTTTCCAACAAATTCTTAAAAATCAAATCAATACCAAGAAGCTTTTCTGATCAGAGGAAGACAGGTGGCTCTAATCCATCTACTTAGTTTTTCTTCTCTTATTCATGGCCCAAGTTATTAGCTGGAACCAGATTTCCAGGGAGCAACGATTGACTCAGATCAACTGAAAAGTCATTTTAGTATACGAAAAAAAAATCATTTGACCTTCACAAATACATTAAATAAAAAGCATACACCATTATCCTTACCTGCACATTTGTAACAGTGATCAATGAAATCCTAAGTAGGTGCACTGTCAGAACTCGGCAATCATCATCGCCACTACATGCGCGTTAACCATGAGCCAGGGTTCAATGATAGCACATGATACCATTCTCCAGGTCCCTGAGATCATGGACTATGTTCTGAGATTCTGTGGACTCAAAAGATAGGCAAGCATCCCAGACATCAGTTTGTATTCTTCTATGTGAGGTTCACTCAGACTGTAAGCCCATCTGACCTCAACATGGGGCCTTCTTGAACAACCTTCCTTCCTACCTAGATTCTGCCCATTTAAAAAATTAAAAACTCCAATTTACTTGGCCTTAGACTCAAACTTGGTGAAACCCTGGACCCAGAAATGAAACTACCTGGGTGACACAAACAGTTTGCCTTTGTGTATTGCTCAAATCCACCGAGTGGCATCATGGAAGAAAAGCCTGCATCTGTTTTCATAAAAATCACAGTCAAGAAAGCTCTAGGGAGCGGTTCTATTCTGTCATGCCTTAGAATTCACTCAATCACAGTGGGTTTGGTTTTCTTCCAGGGCAAAGGTCAGCTTACCACATCAGGCTTCATCACAGCTCTTCTCAGAGCTGTTGTTTGAGAACCAGAAGGAACAGCCTTCCCAAAATGAGGCAACTTCTACCAGGCTCTGAGCATTCAGAAGAGTCTATTGCTTCTCTTCATTACTCAGGGATTGGCCACTAACTGCCTGGCCACCAAGAGCTCCTCGACTCCCTGGTATCAGAGTCTGCATTGGACTGGGGTTGGGGAGAGGTCTTCCAGGTCCCTGTGCTGCTGAGACTACCTGAGGATCTCTTCCCCTACATCCTAAAGAGACCCATATCCCACCAGACAGCCTCACTGGTGCTGATACATCAGTAGTGAAGAGGTAGAAAATGCCTTGTGCAGCAGCCCTGAGCAGAGAGGTTTAGAAATAAGACTCTACACTGGGCCCAAGGCACTCCCACCAGAACTCAAAGGCAGGAGGGGGTCCTCATCTGGAGTCTACCCAAGAATCCCAAGGAGCACACACTGCTATCTAAAGGGGGAACACATAGACTGTGGATTCAGTCCCTGCCCCCACCAAAAAATATTTTTTTTTATTCTTTGGCACTTGGAATTTGGCAAGGGTTAATCATAATGTCAGTTCATAGCATTAAATGAATAAAATACATCTAGATTTGAGAAAACCTCACAGAAATCATCTTTGATTCCCATGAGCACGAGCTCAGGGACCCGAGGGGAAGAGAGGGCAGACGGAGCTCATTGCCAGTGAATAAATGGGACTTTCCTTGACTCAAGAGATTCTCATTTTATTCTCATGTCCTGAGAATAGTGCAGAAGATTTTTTTTTTTTTTTTCCTTTCATTTTGGGGAATTTCTTTTTTGTCCAAGGAATAATTCTCAATAGTCTGCTTTTTTTTAAAGTCCTGTGTAATTTCTAAATAACAATTTTTTTAAATCAAGCTGACACTGCCAACTCCCTCTGGTTAGGGTTTTCCGAGTCCCCCCCAGAGAGACGGCTGTTACTCAGAGAGCCCGTGTAGGAAGCTGGCCTGTATAGCTTATGTCCAAAGGCATCTGTTTCCTCAAAGATGTAGCCAGGGGGCTCGGGGTAGGAAGCTGGGCACCTGCCCATTTCCTTGGGAGTAAAACTCGTGGTGTAGGTGGTCTGGCCCTCCACCGGTCTATTTCCTTGGGGGCCAGACCAGGAGGGCTTGTAACTTTTGGTACTGATGGGAGGGTGGGGCACATAGTGGGCCCGCGTGGTGGTCAGGTAGTCCAAGGGCTGTGTGGGGAGGCTCAGCTGGGGAGGGGGCTTCACTGGCTCTGGGCGGATGTGGGTCCACTGCTTGTAGTCGTCCTTGGTGGTGGTGGACCCCTCGAAGCGACCTCCCTTCTTGATCTGGAGCACCGGGCGGCAGGACTGAGCTGGGCTGCCCTGAGGGTAAGTATAATGGGCCCGCACCGTTGTCAGAAGGTCCATTTTCTCCTCAGGAGGGACGTAGGTAGTAGGCACTTTGGATAACACTTGGGGCGTTGGCCACGCTTGATACTTATCTCTAAACTCAGTGGTGTTGGAGAAAGGTTTATCTAACAAACAGGGTTTGAATGGAGGTTTTAAACTCTGAGCGGGCTCCCCCATCAGGCCTCGGAAGGACTCTTTGTGGGTGGTTTGGCTTTCAAAGGGGACTTCACAAGGCCTGAACTTCTCAGTCTCATGCACAAAACGTTTCTCCACAGGGTGGGCCACATAGCTCATCTTGTAATTGGTCAGATCCTCCAAGGGGATGCCACAGATCTTAGGTGGGGGTGGAGGCTTGCAGCTCGTGGTGTTCACAAAGCCCTTTACGTAGTAGTCATCCTGGTTTGTAGTTCTATTATCAAACTTGGCGGATGTTGGCTGGTAGTGGTACGCCGGACCTAGTGATTCTCGTCTTGGCTGGTTCCAGGGTAAATAATCAGCTGGAATGAAAGCAGAAGTGGTCATTCGTAACAAGCCAAGTCACCCAACCCTCATGAACCCTGTTTGTTTGTTAAGTACTGTTGAGTCGGTCCCAACCCATAGTGACCCTGTATGGGGTTTCCAAGGAGTAGCTGGAACCTTGCAGTCAGCAGTCCAGTGCTTAGCTTACAGCTCCACACCAGAACTCCTAAGGGGTCCCAAAGCCACAAGGCAGTCTCTAATGAAATGTTCTTTGAGACAATAGAAAAACAAAGTCGATTCTGATTCCTGCCCCCAAATCAACCACAGGTTTGTGTTTCAACTTTCAGGTACTTGTGGGCTTTGATGCAGAAGGAACTAGTACACAGTGTTCACCAAGCACCACAACTCTGCATGAAGGAATCTAGCTGTCAGTTGATTGTGTGGTGGTAGCTTTCCTGGTGCTGTGATGTGGAAGGCTGATATACCAAGACCCCTGGGTGTATGTTGTTGTTGATGTTGTTAAGTGTTGTCGAGTTGGTTCCGACCCTGTACAGGGTTTCCAAGGAGAGGCTGGTGAGCCTGAACCACCGACCTTGCAATCCAAACAGACTTTGCAATGTAGTGCATTAACCCACAGCACCACACCAGGACTGCAGTGAGGCTCGGCTGTGACAAGTAGCAGCTCTGCTGTGGGTGGGGTTGCCTTGATCTGGACTAGAGTAGTCTACTTTGGAGTAGGGTATTCCAAATCAAGGCAACCCCACCCACAGCAGAGCTGCTACTTGTCACAGCCGAGCCTCACTGGAGTCCTGGTGTGGCACTATGGGCTAATGCACTACACATTGCAAAGTCCGTTTGGATTGCAAGGTCGGCGGTTCAAGCTCGCCAACCGTTCCTCAGAAACCCCATACAGGGTCACTATGAGCCGGAACCACCTTGTTGGCACTTAGCAGCAACAACAACTATGGCCTGACGGGCAGAGCTAGCAGCACACAGACGGGACTTGGGGGGGCTAACAGAGGAAAGCCCAGGTTAAAACATCTTGAACCTCCAATGTCCTTTTCCTAAGTTCAGTTGTTTTTCTTGAATAAACACTTCTCAATTTTGAGGATGCCATTGGTTGATTTCCAAAGTCCTGAAGTGGGTTGGGTTTTGGTTTTGTTTTTTCCCTGAACGGTTTTGTCCAATTTTATCATTGCTTTTGGGAGAGAGGATTTGCTGAGTTCTTTACACCACCATTCCTGAAATCTTGACATCCCCTCACGTCACCCCCAGGCACACTCTAAAGTTTATTTTAGGCCAATAATACTACCAACTATTTATTCAAAATTGGCTTCATTTTAATTGAACATCTAATCTTTCTCTGAAAGCCATTAATGGTTCTATCAGCATCTTGAAAGCATTACAGGCCTTAGCGGGAACCATCTTGCTGAATATAAACCACATGTTTCCCTCAGGCCTCAGGCCTCACTGCAGCAGCGGGGGCACCTACCTGTGGGTGTCTGCACAGTGCCTTGAAATGCTTGGGGGAGGGGAGAACAGGGCTGTTCTAGTCTTCTTCTCTGATGGATGAAGTGTTAAGAAAACAGGTACCTAAGCTGAAAGTTGCCTCATGTGATTTCTGATACCCAACAATACAGTTGAAACCACATTATGCAGCCTCCTAACTACCTCCACCCTGCATTTATCACCAAAAAAAAAAAAAAAACCCAAAGAGAAGGTAACATGTTCAGCATTTCTCAAGCTGAGGGAAGTGAAGAAAAAAAAAAAAAAAAAAAGCCTCCATATAACCCTGAAAACCTCAGAATTCCACATAACAAACTATTCACATGCCTAAAAAGCCATCAGTAAAACCCTCCAGGCCCACAGTGGCTTGTGGGTAACTGACAAAAAAAAAACCTCTTTAAAGGGGACTCTGTTCAATAATGTTATCCTTAAAAAAAACGTAGCTAATCATAAAACTGAGCATCAAGTAATTACCACTCTCAATCTTCCCAATTGCACCATGTTTTGAAAATGTCACAAATGACAACCAAATGCCGCTGAAGCATACGTTAGTGGTGGTTTCTGTACCCCAGTAAAGGTGCTGACCGTAAGCGTGGAAAGGGAAAAGTCTGCTTATTTTTTCTGTGAAACCAATTTAAGTGAAGCACATACATCTAATATAGATGGTTCACAAAAATAAATATTTTAATGGCCTTAGTCTTTGGTTTCTTCCCCAACCTCCCCTTTGGAAGGATAATCAATGTGTATAAAACATGAAAATTGCTATAAAAACGCTCTTTCACAAGAGACAAATGAATTCTACTATGAGGTGATGCACTAAAGATATCTAGACAAGGATATGGCTGCTCACCCATGCAGGAGAGGTTTGTGCAGGACTGGCCCAAGGGCAGGGTAAATGTCACCAAGAAAGACTTCACCAAACATCAGCCCTGCTCCTGTCCTGGCCAGAATCCACAAGATAGGGCTGAGTCGGGATTTGTGTCTAACTGCTGCCAAACTCCACCAACCAGGAATCCTTGTTCAAAATGTTCTAGGGCCACTCATTCATTGTCTCCTCACTTGGCACACCTTATGTGCCATTCCCTGTAGGAAATGCTGGGAATGTAGAAGTTGGAATTCAAGACCCAGTTTTGGATGCCATTACATGGTGGGAAACTAATAGAACAGATAAGCTACACGAACAGCAAAATATGTTATGTATCATTGAGGAAAAAACCTTATGCCAGACACATAGGTTGCAAACTATACTACAAATCAGGCTAATGGGTGTCTACTTGAGATGGAGACTGGAAGTGGGTAGTAATGTCGTTATTACTTGGATTGTTATATATATCTGTATAATTTTGACTGGTACAATTTTTGTATGATACTTTCCTGAATTATATGGTGTAATGCAGTGAATTGCTTCATATGGCTTATCTACCCAGTCTTTGGAACTTCAGCGAAACAATGTTTTTGTCCTGCTGGGTCTGGTTAAGACAAGGTAAGGAAAGATGCTGGGGGATTATGAAATTCAGCTGTGAGTGTTAACAGGGTCGATTGCAAAAAACTTGGACCTCGAATGTGCATAACAAGCGTCACCTCAGAAATAGGAATGAGGGAGTCTCAGTCAGGAGTGGGGTGCATTTTTTGGACCCTGAGGTCCCAGCACAGTAAACCTCCTCACCCAGGGACAGAAAGCTGTCCAGGAGCCAGAACATGAGACAGAACAGTCCACAAAGTAAAGCTGAGTGACTTTGGGCAGGAGGCTTGTTTGCAGAATGGGGTGCGTCTCCACTTAATTAGGAAAGTTAGTTTGCTAGAGCCAAGTGCCTCCAGACTGAGGCTCATGGTGGAGCGCTGTGTTCTCTGAGTATTTATCAGCATCCCTAAAAGAGCTCACACAGAGAGAGGGCAAGTGTCACAGGGACGGGTGAGGGAAGGTTGTCCTGACTGGATGAACTGGGCATTTTCTGATCCTGCGTTGTCACCTGTTCACTTCCCTAATAAACCCCAACACTGTCAGTGTGGTGTCCGAGTTCTGTGTGGCCATTGCAATGAATGGCCAAGTCCAGTTGGCTCGTGAATGGTTTGGTGCAACATATTTGTTGGATATGTCATATTTCAAAACATTTTAAACAAATGAATGAGTTCATTGATCTGTGGAGCCTAACTTGACTTGACCTTGAAATGTTTTCCCAACATGGGCGTTCAAATTATCAAGTTAAGGCAAAGGTCAAATACTAAATATTTTAGGTTTTGCAGGCCATACCATCTTTGTACAACTATTCATCTTTGCCTCTGCAATGCCAAAGCAGTCATTGCTATTGTAAAGTGTCGTCCAGTCGGTTCTGACTCATAGATCATATATAAATAACTGAGATGGTAGTATTCCAATAAAAATATTTATGAACATTAAAACTTCAAATAATTTTCATATGCCACAAAGTATTATTATAATTTTATTTTTTTTTTTGTCCAGCCACTTTAAAATGCAGTACCCATTCTTATCTCCCCAGCTGTGTAAGAGCAGGCTGCACTGGGTCTGGCCTGTGGGAATTCATTTATACAAAGCTGAGCTAAGGAGATCCACAACTAAAGCATTTCTTGGTCATGTATTAGGCTCCGCCTCAGAGAGAATCCCTCCCCCTTCTGTCCCCTACCTTTATAAGTAGGTAGACATTCCATCCTATTACCAGGCCGATACATGCTATCCGGAGGTTTGATGGGGTCCACCCGACACACAGGGTAGGGGTTGTAATCTTGTTTATACGTCGTGAGCAAGTCCATGTTCTCTCCTCTTGGGACGAACTGCTTGGGTTGGGGCCCCTTCACCGGTAACACTTTGTAAAGCCCAAAATCTCTCCTGTATGGATCATAAAGCACACGTTGTTGGGCCTTTGGCTGGGAATCAGCCTCAGGTTTTCTACTCATCTCAGTTCTATAGGTGATTGCCAAGAAGTTGGCTTCTACTTGACCCCCAAGCAGCTCTTTCTCTATTTCCCACTTCAAGAAAGGCACCATCACTTTCTTGCTCAAGCATCCTCGCCCTGCTTCCCTGCACTGAGCGGAGCCTCTTCTGCCATAGCCATTTCTCTCTTGTTAAAGCCCTCACCATGTCCCTTGGCTCATGGGACAACCTACTTCTTGGGCTTCCTGCCACTTCAGTCTTTATACTGTTGTCAGAATTAAAATCAAATCCTTTCACTTCCCAGTTCAAAATCTTCCAGATACAGCCCGAACTTTCTAGCAAGGTTTTACAAGCATCCCAGGACCTGGTCCCTGCTTTATTCCTCAGCCTATCTCCTACCACTCTCCCCAGCCCCCACCAACCACACTGGATGACAGAAAAGGACCTCTGTACTGGGCCTCTTCTCTCCAACTTCCTTCACTGTGGAGATGACTTCAGTTTTTCAGGTACCAACCACCACCTCCTTTGCTGTGGCTCCAATAGCTTTTCCTGGTAATATTTACCTCCTTCCTCTGGTTGAGCTTACAGAAAGTCAAGAAGGGAATGTTGTGCAATACATTGAGACACCAAACCTTTAGTTTCTTTGCTATCCCTCAGCACTCCCCACCCCCTTTTATGAAAACAATGGGCTAGAAAAAGCCTGTTGATCTTTCATCAAACAAGAAGCATATCTTCCCTAAGCATCCCACCATTCTAGAAAGGCCAAGATGGGAACTCTGACATCACCAGGAATCACCCTGGTGGCTATCAGGCGGGCTCACGTTGCACACCAGTGTGGTCTCAACTTCCCAATTCTCAGCGTAAACTCTTTTAAACAAACATTTCCCCTCAAGGATTTCTGCTGTTCACAACAGACCATTTGTCCAACTGGACCAAGGGAAGGTGGAGTTTTTCTCTGTTGGTACTTGCCAAAACAGCCTCACCAAGGACAGGGGAAGGTTTCCGGACAGGAAAACATTAGGCCCAAACACCAATAAAAACTAGTTCCCAGCAAAAATCTGGAGCAGCGTTACTGAACCATGGTTGAATAGCAAAGGTAACATGCTCCACTGTAACCTGTCTTGCATGAATTATGCACATGCTTGTCAATAAACCTCAACCATGTCCTGAAAACGCTTGGTCAGGGAGGAAGGAAGGAGCAGGAGAGAATGGGTCTCTCTAGGGCTCTAAGGAGGAAATGGAAGATGCTTCCGTTGAACTCTCCATAACATCCACTGGGTAGATTTAAAAACAGATCTCAGCAGCAGTCAAAGGGCCTTCAACCTGGCCTCCCTTCCCAGGGGACCTCATTGTTGTTGGATGGCAAGGGAGGCTGAGTGACCGGAGGCATCTGGCAGCTGTTGATGTATAAATTAGGCATGTGGAGAGAACTAGCTAACAAGAATCCAAGGGTCAATTCAACACGTCTATGCTTCCTACAAGTACCTCACTCCAGTGTCTGTTCAAAATTAAACATAGGGTAGAGCCCCAGGCTGCAGAGAGAAAAGGAAATGGCCGGAAAACCATGTTTGAAAACCAGCTAACTAGAAAGTCTTTCTGTCACAAAGTTTGGTTCTGAAGAGACTGCTCCAGTCCCAGTGAGGTGGAATGGGGGAGGGGGAGTTGGATGCAGCCTGAGGCTACATATTCCCCTCCCCCCACCCCCACACACACTGAACAAAATGAGGTGGAGCAGGGAGGTTTGGATGCAGCCACACACCACACACACACACACACACACACTGAACAAAATATGCCTGCGTTCAGAGTTGGCAGCCCAAGACTTCAGCCCTGTGCATCCCCAAGAAGGGAAATCAGCAAGGAATAAAGCCAAATGGCCCACACTGCCCCACACAAGAGCAGCCAGGATCTCATACTCTTACAGCTTTGGGACCTGGCACACAGAAGCCATGACAGTCTGTTGGACTATTACTCAGACAGAGGAAACCCATTTCCTCTCCGAGATGCTGCAAGAACCTCAAGGGTCGCGAGGCTCTGTGACAATTAAAGTGTCCTTAAAGCCCTTATCTTCTGCAGAAAAGAGCAGATAAATGTTTAGGACCAAACTCTCCAGACTAGCTGAAGTGGGTCTTTCAAAGACAAATGCTAAGAACAAACAAGATGGCAGATCGGGTGGAAGCCCAGTAAAGGAGCTCCGCCAGCAACAACATAGAATACCCAACCAAGCAGGCTCAGGGGCTGGTCCCAGAATGCTGAGCCACATATAAAGGAGTATTTAGAAGGTTGGAAGGCTTACCGCTGGGGGAATTTGTGGCAGAAGCAAGAAATCCATTGCTTTCTAATTTGAGATGCTCAGCTGCTCAAGGAGCTGCCATCTTGGGTGAGACCAAGCAGGGGAAGGATCAGAGCAGCCACAGAACGCCTGACAGAACCACTGAGATAAAGGTGTGAATATTTTTCTCTTTTGGTAGCTATTCATTGGTCCGTTGCTGTCTGTGCACCTCCATTCGGGTGACTGTAGGGGTGCCTGAGCTAGTGGGCACCCCAGCCCCACCTTCAGAGGGTTCTACTACGCATGCGCATAGATCTCCTTGAAATTTAAAGAGACAGTTTCCAATTAAAACCAAACAGCCACAGCCAGCCCTGAACTGTTTACAACTAGAAAAAAGGCCTTAACAGGGATTGTGGAGCGGGACAAGCAAACAGAAAAGGAAACAGGCCAAAATTTAAATCCTAAATTATGTCAAAACGACCAACAATGGCATCTTGAAATTTCTCAAGAAGAAGAGTGAAAAGAGAAGCCCATTTCCTGATCACATCTACCTGGAGGCAATCAGAAAAAACAAAAATTACCAAAATACATACCCATCTGAGTATTAAGGCCACAGATAGCCCCTGAAGATGCCCAAAAAACAGAAGCAGATGACCATATCTGCACATGTCCAGAAACGAGATAAAGTGACTGAAACAAATGAGCTAGAAGTAGACCTACACTCCATACTGGAAGATGGGCAGGCTTTGGAAATGCCCGAGAAGGTATTCAGAAAAACGATTATAAAATGTATCAAAACACTATAAAATGGAGTGGAGAAAAATAAGGAAGAAGTCAGGAAAGTGCTACAGGAACAATCAAATAAGATAGATACAGCATTGGAAACAATTCAAAACCTACAGAAAGAGGTCCAA